AATTCCCACTCTTTACAAATCTGTCGAGTAAGCAACATTATGATCGAAGAGCTCTACTGTAATATCACTAGAAATACGCATCAAATCTGCAAGTCGGCTAATACAAGACACGGCATGGACAGCGTATCGCATCATACAACTACAACAACGCCCACTTCCACAGCTATTACCACTGCCATGGCCACTTTTAACGCAGCAAAGAGACATCGGGGCATCGACTCTCTTGCCTGGCAGGGTTGTTCGTGTAGTCGCGACTCCGGCCCTGGTACAGGAGTGGAAGTAAACCCCGGAACTGCCTTGAAAGATTTGAAATTATCTATCGATATGGATTTAGTCCGGAAGGCACAGGTACTGAATGCGGCTTTTATTTTCAATAATACACCTCAATAATAATATTAGTATACCTTTATGACTCTTTGTCATGTACCAACTATGAGATTTATTATAGACGTAGTATCGGTGAAATTAAATGGTCTAAATTTCATTTTTCTTCTCCCCACAGAGTACTGAAGAAGATCGACAAATTAGGCGTCGCGAACAGAACAAAATCGCTGCTGCTAAATATAGAAACAGAAAGCGAACATCGAGCGATGCTTTGAATGAGGTGGGTAGTTTTTTTGCTTCCTCGCCTGCCCACACTATCTAGTTGAACTATTCAGTATACAAACCCCCAGTGTGTTACCAGTATATAGGTCGAATTGCTAATGTTCGCCCGCGGTCAGTCAGAAGCTCCGTAATAATACCCAATTTCTGCAACTTGGAAGTAAGAGGTCAATGCCCTCGTCTCCTCATCAACTAAGGGCAGTCACAAAGGTAGTGTAGCGTCCTGAACATGTGTACAGGGTCAGTTCACCTGAGGTATGTTGCACCGTGGAAGGTACTAATGGTTGCACACATGGTAGGTCATCAAGTAGATTAATAAGTATTATGCCGATTGGTGCTAATAATATAAAAATAATTTATTAATTTTTATCTTTCGGTTAAATAACTACCACGGCCTCCCAGGGAGTATAAATCTGCGTGAGCTGTCCCACTAGTAGTCATACTAGTAGTGATGACACTACAGTTGTTAAAGTTCCCTTGAAATTACTAATGTTTATGTGGTAAAGTCATCAACATGTTTAACTTTTCTAAAATAAAAAAATCCTACAGTCCGTCTTCGCGTGTGGGCGTGCGTATGTTCTCGTGGTTTATAAGGATTTCGAAAATGTAAATAAAGAGAAACAAACGCACGTCCAAAATGTTTAAATGATTGTGAAGTACTATCGACACCACAAACCAAATTTCTTGATTGTTATGAAAAATTATGAATTTGCCAGTTAAGTGCTTTCGACTTCATGATCGTAGTCAGCCTATTTATGCCCATAGGTTGATTTCGGAACCATATTCTTCTAGCGATGGTACTTGAAACATATTAAAAATAGCAGACAATTAGTTCGGTTGCCAATGGAATTATCATGTTCATTTGCATATCGACCGTGCAAATTAGTTTTAGTCAAAATAAGTGACTGCCTAAAAGTATCATTATCACTTCACTCAGCAAGTATATTCATGTACCCCAAGAGAAAAATATGTTTCGAAAAACGGTACTCCTGAAAGGACTACTTTATTTGCTCTCAGACCTCATTCGCATATGGGATATGGAAATACCAATTTTGATTTCAGGGAAGAATCAAAATAAACTGCAGTACATATGTAATAATAGTTGGAATCAACTGTCAATTTCATAAACATAGATGCCTCGTACCTGTACAGTAAAGGACAGAAAGATGTACCTTACTGTATATACATTTGTAAATGCAAATTAATATCTTCATTCAAATTCAAATCATATTTAATAGTGATTGGCTCAAACTTTACGTCTATTATAAACGTTCACTATTACCTTCCATGCTAGACCTCAAGACGAAGTTACAATATCATTTTGGATTTGTCTGGATTGATTAAAATCTATAACAGCCATTTTGGTTTAGTTAGTTATATTTATAAACCGTTTATAACGTTCACATGGTTGTGACGTTCACTGTATTATTCCTCCCATGTCTAAAATGGGCCGTACTTGTTCCTTTGGTTCCACAGGAATCTAAACGATTGCAAGAAGCTAACCTTGGCCTTCAAGAGAAGATCAAATCACTGGAACACCACAAGAATTTTTTGGTTCGCTTGCTTGGTCAAGTCAAACCTAATGTACAGTTTCCTTCATTTTCGGGCGCCATGAAGTTACTTTTCTAAGACCGGGAGTGAGAGCTCGATGATTTTGACTTTGACTACATATAGGTTATCAGTGGATCACGTGAGGTACACGTGGGTGATCACATGATTTTCTTATCAATTTGGTTGATTTAACACTTAGGAAATCGGGGAGCTGCAGAAGGCAAACTCGGCGCTGAGGTCGAAACTTCATCGTTTAGAGGACAGAAGAGAATACTGGATCCAGGCAATCCGATCTAACAAACAGACATGTCTCAAGTGCGATAAGTGCATGGACGTCACAAAATACTATACGCACGTCCCTTATTCTGTTGAAGACGAGCAGAAGAACCTTTGTGTTTAGTGACACACGCCGGGATGAAGTAGTCAGTGCAGACCTCGGCGAAATCGTCGATGGAAGTTGTGATGAACACTACATGGTTGTTTTTACAGTGTCAGGGTGGACATCGTGTTATCATCAGCGCAACAAATCACCCCGCTACTGTCATCTCTGCAGCCATCGATACCGTCTTGTGCGGCGATACCAGCGATACCAGCGTGCTATGTCACAAGGAGTCCCCCGCCAGCGTTGTTGGTGGGACATATAGCAGAGGGATATTTAAATCAACTTTGGTTTAATTTAAAATTGAATATTCACCAAAACGAAATAGTGTATTTTATGGAAATATTGAGAGAAAGATTTAAACATCACAGGATTATTGTAAAGAGAGTCTGTGACCAAAATAGAAAGTATCCACTCGCTGTGCTAGAAAACATATCCGTATTGTGTGCGTATGTCAATTGTATGAAGACTGCATTGCCATTTCTTTTTTTTTCAGATCTAATTTGACCTAGGTGATTCAAACTGGGTAATTTATACTTAGGTAAAGATCTCCTAGATAGCTGAAAAAAATAATTGTTTCAACAAAAAAAAGAAGGTCTACATGATAATACTACCCATGTTTGTACTCACCCAGTGCACTAGCTCGAGTTCGAGAATAAAATATGTGTATAAAAATGTCATGGCCACGTTACTGCAAATTGTAGCCGTGGTCAGACATGCAGCGACTGTCTTCTGAAAGTTACAAGGGATTAAAGCTAACGGTGCTGTTGTAAACAGTGTATGATTAAAATAAACATAAATGCCATTAGAATAATTTATTCCACTTTATGAGTGAGTTTTTTTAACGATGTGGATATTTATGCTTTCTGTTGTGGTCAACAAAATCTCGCCCATAATTTATTTCGCACTTGCGTCACCGAAGTTGTTTTACCGCGGTTTGCTGCAGGTCCTTTTTTTCGTCACGGTGTAAGATTATGTTCGGATTGAACCTCAGGCTGACTGTTAATTCATTAATAAAACTTCGATAAAAATTGATAAAAAACGAATTTTAGTGTTCATCACAGATTCAATTCGAGTTTCTGATTACTTGATATTATTTTTAGTTGACATGTTTACAGTTTTTACAATGCAAATGTTTGTTTTACAGTTACCTATATTTATAAGTAAATCATTTTAAACTTTGTGTTTTATAAGTGAATCATTTTAAACTTTGTGTTTTATAAGTGAATCATTCTTGGCATATATTACAAACAATTGGAAATGTTATTATTACTGCGAATTACTGCGCATGTGCGGTTCGATGTAATGTACACGATCGATGTAAGCATGACTTTATCAGATTGCATTACATTTTTTTTGTGGCAGATACACTGGGTTTCATGAAGGCGTGAATTTGTTTTATGAACATTTATTAATATTTATAAAAAACATTTATCGTAAAAGATTCTCGCGCTTCATTCAAATCTAAAGAAGATGCATTGGCTATAGAACCATTTGGTATTTGGTACTCCCATTACCCGTGACACTTTGCAGGGTTTTTGTAATTTACTATCATGGATGCAAAAAAAGGTCCCATCAATTCTTTAAAACGCAGTGTTTCGTTTGCCAAAATATATTTAAAAGAATACTATTGTCTGGCACAGAACGTTAAATTGCAAATGTCAGTTAGTGTAAAACTAGAGATTGAAGGTTAGCTGACGGCAGCGGAGTTCTTATTCGTCAGGTATTCATCAGCTAACGCCTTGTGATTGGTCCAGGTTGTTTTCAATTGCCATTTGATATTTGCAAACATTTATAAACATTCTATATGAAACAAACTTGCGCCTTCATATAACTCTATGTGAGTTTTCTTACAAATTGAATATACATTTAAATCGGAAAATGAAACAAAAGCTTTATTCTCAGTACGTTTAAGAAAATTGTAAATGTGTGAAGATTGAATAATATGCTATGATCATTATGTTATTGTACGTTTGTCATTGCCAATTTCAGTGCTGCCAACTAAAATGGCAAGTATGGCATTGAGGCTACTCAAATTCCATCCAAGCTAATTACTGGTATGTGGCTAACTTAATGATGTATACTCGCATGATTCAACGTAATTTAAAGTGGTCCTATAAAATAATGCAACGAAAAAAATAGTGAAAGTGTGATACCATTTTATATATACACTTGTTCCACTTGAGTCGATGTTTGTGTCTAGTACATCGTTGGTGCTCTGGGCCGCTGTGACAGAGATCGGTTTTCGTCTAAATATGTGTTATGTACAGTGATACTTTTAATAATATATTTTATACATTGATATATTACAGAAATGTCAAACTTTTATTTGGGATCTATTAAAGTGAAGACAATATAAATATGCAGAGTGCTTTGTCATTACCCACCCCTCCATCCACATACACAAACTCAACAAGGGTATTTCCAAATTACTCATCGATAAGCAAGCGAATATACATTTCTGAAAAAAAACAATAGTGGATGATGAATCATGTCGTTCTGGACGTTTGTCTATTGGCGCAGTATGCGTAAGTACACTTAGAGAGCACTGATTGGCTGACATGCACTTGTTCATTCTGTATATTTGTACTACTGCATTGTTTGTTGCTGCGAACATACTGCCAAATTGGGTACGTATGAACAATTAACCAAATAAGTTCAGGAACATACCACATTTGGGCATATTTTAGTTTGTTTTGTAGCTGTAAACAAATAGACCATGAGTAAGTCCGTCGTGATTGGTTAACCAATACTATGATGTAATGTGCTATATTTAGAATGCTGTACGCAACGTCACGCGCTTAACTTTCGTTGAAAACATAACCATGACATTTTGTCCCATGATTCTCAACCCGTGCAATAAACAATGCTCAGCTCTCACACTCGTGGTCAATATTTTCATTTATTTTATTGTTATATGACTTGTGTACTTCTTGTATAAAAATATCACAATGTTCGCAGCATTGTACTGTATAACCCTGGACACATAGCGTTTAGTCGCGTGACTCATGCGATGCGATGGAAAATTCGGTATTTCGCAATCGGTGATCGATCAAACAAAAGAAACAATGGAAGAAAGTTGGGTCATATATATAGGTAAAGTCTACGGAAATTTAGAAACACTTGTACGATCCTGGAAGTCGGAGTGTGATCAGGTAATTATCAGTATTTATCTCTCAGTCGTTTGATACGACTTTGCGATGTACATGTTATCTTTCTTTCACTTTACGGGTGCAATCATTTATTTCCCACTTTCTCTAGCATTTTTCCCTCCACACACGTTCGTTAAAACTTCCTTCCAATTACAATGCGTCGTACACCAGCGTGTCTAATTCCGCGTTCAGTCCCGGGAGTACGAGTCCCGGACGTACGTGTCTGTCGCCACCCAGTCAACGTGGTGATATTTTGAACACAAGGCGGTGTTCTGTCATATTGACAAGTGTTAGCTGACTGTGTGATATGAAATGAAAACTGCACTCCAACGTCAATTCAGTAGAAATAGTTGATAGTCACGTTTCGTGTTGATCTATCATACCTTTTATCAAACTCAATCACTGATACAGAGTGCCGTTTGTGTCATTTCCCCGACTTCAGTCAGACCTTACCACCACCTCCAAAATTTATTTACGAGAGGTAAGAACGAATTAGACATTAATTACAAGAATACACGCGAATGACGCAATGCTGGATTAGATTGTCAACATCTTCTAACTGCAGACATATTATCACGAAATTTTAAATGATCAATCGCCAGCATCGTTTGAATGAAAAGCGACAGTAATTAAAAATCTTCTAATTACAGATTTCATTGTAACATTCATTAGGCTCCAATATCACCGCCAACGACAATGGAAAGCTCATATAGATAACAGTTTAATAAAAAAAAAATTTTCTTTGGACGAGAACATTCCACTTCATCCTTCATTCCCACGTTCAATATGACTTATCAAACCATAGAAAACATTCTAAGGTCTATGATCAAACACAGCTCTGTATGCTAAATTTGATTCACGGTAACATGACACTTTCCTACACGAGGAATATTGGTCTCGTTTTGACTTCAGGATGGCTACGATGAATAAATTAGAAGCCTTGTACATTGCGGACTCGCGCTCTTTCGTAGAATAAACTTGAAAAAAGCAGGTCCGGGCCATTTTATAGACAAATGGGTCATAAATGTTTTGAAAAAAAAAAAGTTTTCTGTAAACTATATTCTTACCGTACCTAAGTGTTCCGATAACTGAGCTGAATTGACCACACTGATAGTTTCTTCGGCTGAGCACTCAATATAGACGTATCAGTCTGCAATTTGATTTTCCAAACTAACGAGCAAGATATTCCTGGGAAAAAGTTGGAAATAAAGGACGTCCTCGCGCAAGTTGATACAATTACTAAACTGTACCTTACTTATGTGGCAGCGGTCTAACGCGAATAACGGGGCTTGTATTGAGTCACTGAGTCAAATTCGTAGTTGACCTGTCATGTTAGAAACATGTTCACAATTACGTGAATCACACAGAACAATGCGTTCCGGGAGTGGGTTGGACAGTGGTCCAGTCACACCCACGCAAATCAGTACGTCCATCCGCCAGTTCGTTCCATTAAAATATGAGAAATTTAATTTCTAGTATTTCGTGATACGTAATTCTATTGCATTTCAATGATTTTTGTTGCTGTGGACCAGTTTAGACCTCTTCTCAAAACCGTAATGTCAATCAATGTAAATTACTGAACCTGCGACTTTTCGTCATCTTAGGATTTTTTCATTGTATTCGACTGTGTGACCTAGTAATATTTAGTCTTGTTGATTTGTAACACCCCCTCCAACTTACGCAGGCAATACGATTTTCTATTGTTGAAAATGTGTAATTTGAGATAAAGTTACAAATTCTTCAGTTCTTTCTAATTGTTCGAGGACAGTTGCGAATATTCTCGATATCTGTGTACGCACAGTAAGTAACTAAACCATTATTACAAACAGTAATGGTATAGTATTAGAAATAATAAACCGAACCTTTGCACACCATATAATAATATTTAAATGGTGTGTTTATCGTATGCAAATAACTGAATGTGAGACTACATACTTAAGTTACTTGAGGTATTTATGCTTTCGATTCGAAAAATAATGCAAACCTAAGCAGTTCTGTCTAAGCCAGTATTACTGCAACGTCATACGCAACATGTAAAAAGTGTGTAGTCATCATAAGTACTGTAAAATGACTAATTTTCACGGGGTTTAAATTTCACTGATTTACCATTTCAGGCATATTTAGTGGGTTTTAAATTCACGGTTTCGTCATTTAGATAATGTGTTCTATGCTAAATTTTACATATTCACTGTGTTTTAATTTAGCGCATTTTTCCAGTCAGCGAAATAAACTAAATTAAAACCCAGTGAATAATTACCCCCTTTACAGTACTAGTATTGCTTCATATAAGCATGTGTTTGTTTGTTTGTTAATTCTCAACATCTGATCATTGCTGTATAGTTATGCAATGTCGTTGTGCAATGTATGCTCGATTTGTTTATGTCCGTTGCTAGGGGGGTGATATCACATGTTCGGAGTAAGTATAAGTTTTAGGTATTTTTTTGCCATTTTTGTCTCAACTTGAAACGTGTGCGGGCATGTATTTCAGTATGACATCATTTCTAAATATAGAATTGCGGGAGTATATAAAGTGTTGTACCAGTTAACCGACTCGGAGTTTTAGTCACTATACCTTGCGCATGCGCACGGACTATGCACAAGCGAATGATTCATTGCGGTGGTCACGTGTGTATACAAAACATTGTATTGTGTATCAAACGCGTGTGTACCATAAGGCACTGTTAAGGTCGTTGTCGAGGTTCTTATTCGGGACTAAAAATGGAAAGTCTTGTAATAGACGACAGCTCCTCTGATATTTATGATGCGTCGTTGGCATGTGATCAACAGGTAAGAAATGTAATGAAAAACTTGTCACGATGCAATGAATTCGCCCTGAGGCCGACGTTTACAATACGTCACTACATGAATATTCATTACTAGTCTTACGTGCTGGTAGAAATGTACTCAAACACGGCCTGCCACATATTTTTATGAGCTTGCATAAAATAAGTTTTTGCGGCATAATTTAATTATATTTATGTGTCGGCGTAGTGCTGGTATTTTCTTTTTTGCTTGTTCGAGTTTGGGGGTCGTTACAAACTTGACAAAATGATTGAAACCTATCATTTCATCTCTGTTGCGCAATGATTTTCTTTTACATTCGTTCGTAGACAAGAACTTTTTTTATTCGATTTCTTCTCAGATTCATATCAGCCGTTTTATTGTTTGTGATGCATACATGCATTCCAATGCGATGACCTAATTTCTCAATGTCATCTTAGTAGACAGAAATGAATCGACTTGTCCAGGGCACTCGATGCATCATCTCTTCCAACGTGGCCGAACGATATGCGCACGCACCCTGAGTGAAATCCACAACTCATTTAAATCTTTTTCAATTCATATGACCTTAATGTGTCTGCAATAATTTCAACAAACGTATACATGTATATTTAGTATGTAACAATAATAGTCCCATAATTCCACTATGCTACTAGTAGAGTGGGTGTCGTTATTCGTCATTTTGGCGTGAATCAATTAACCGGCTTACGGTGGCCCAATCCATTAATTAATATGCATAAATATGCGTCATGCTTATTGGTATTCGTGCACCGCGCCCATATTTAGCCGCTCTGTATATTTCTGGTTGTAATCTACTAGTGAAGGACGTGTTACGGTGTCTTCTGTTGACGTGCTTAACGTGCCGAGGACATATCGATGTTTTTCTTTTATATGATCAAAACAATTAATCTTTCTCATTTGCCACAGTTATTGCATGGTTTGTTGAAATGTTAAACGCCAGGATCCGGCTACCCGGTAAAACGACGAGTGAGCGAGCAGCTTCGACCTCGTTATGTGGGCGGAGTGGGTGTCGCCGTCGCGGGGGCTGTATTTGTTTTATGTCACCCCTCAATTTCACAGTAATCGAACAACTATTTAAAAAATGTGATTTGGTGATTATGTACGGGTCCCATTGAGATGCTCTTCGACCAAATTTAGGCAATTATATGTTGGCGAATAATAAAACGAATGAGTTATACATGAAATTCAAAGACCTCGTCTGATAAGGTAAAATTGATGTCAGATTTCTATTTAAGACATTTTCATCGTTAAAAGGTAGATGTACTAGTTCCGGTCACACGACAGTAACATCAGCGGCGTTGCATGTGTATGCGAAATTTTAAAATCCCGGCATTCACTGCATTTTTCATGTCATTGTGTCAGTGAGTGTTGTAGCCGATATAGTGTCGTATGCTTCAAGTCGAAGCTTCACTGTTAATAATTACAAGATTGCACGGCGAGATTACGTGGTTGCCAACATGAACACATGCAACTTCCGAATTGTTTTCGTGAAACGAAGTTTTGCGATTAAATGCAGAAACAACATTCCATCATACGCTCATCATTATGTTAAATAAAACGTTTACAAATTCACGGTTAATATATATATATATATATATATTGATTATATTACGGTACGCAGACGTTTAAAACAAATTGGTAACAGCGCCCCCGCCGACGAATCTTTGAACAATTCATACACTTGCCGATAGAGGTCAGTATACAGCGTGACGTTATTTTATTGCGTTTCCCTGTGCGTTCTTGCAATCAATAGGTAGAATATTAAATCATTTCATTTCGTTGATATGAATATAAATTGCCTCGTTGCCACTATTGATTAACTATAAATAGATTTCTACACTCTCTTTTCGTCAACTATACCCGTTATTTTAGCTCGAGGTCCATTATCATAAATAATAATTGCTGTGTTTGCTAAATTTACAGGCTGCGTCCGCCCCGCATACTACAACTCGATCCTCAGACTGCAACTCTTCCCACAGACTGCAACTCGTCCCTCAGATTGCAACTCGTCCCTCGGACTGCAACTTTTCCCGCAGACTGCAACTTGTCCCGCAGACTGCAACTCTTCCCACAGACTGCAACTCGTCCCA